CCACCTAGAGTGAGTGGAGGAGTCCTTATACATTGGGAGCTGGGAAAATAAGCATCTTCTGGTGGAAGATAACCCTCATCACACGAAGGCCACGCTGGAGTGGCCCTGGAGGGGCACCTCATCCAGATCCTTCCTTTTCCCAGTGGGGAAACTGAGGCTCGGAGAGAGAATGTGGACTGGCTTAGGTCACACAGTGCGTGGCAGAGCCAGGCTGACCCCTGACAGGCACTTCTTTCTGCACCTGCACCTTGTTGATGGCCAGCAGTGACCAGTGTGAGGATGGAAGGAGCTATGTGGGTGACCGTGTGTATGGGAAAGTGAGAAGGGGACATGTGGGCTGGAAGACAGGGTGTCTCACCAAGTCCAGTGCGGTCCCTCCTCTTTCAGATATGGGAAGCTGCTTTTCCTATGTAAGAAGGGTTAGGGCTAAGCATCACCTACAGGAGAGAGCGCTAGGAATACAGTGGGAACTGGGAAGGAAAAGAGAAAGAGGGAAGTTCATCTTACAGACACCAGAGAATATACAAGTGAACCACGTGCCACGCCACTGTTTCACAAATGACCGTAATACTGGTTTGGGTTGGGGGAGGGTTGGGTGTCAAAGTGACATCCTACCTCGGGTACCATATCTTTCCATGTCTGACATGTGTGAAAACACTTTCAGTTGTAAAGATAAGTTGAACTTACTGAGCACCCACTAGCTGAGCAACCTAGTGGGTGCTCAGTAAATGGTAGCATCTCTCAGTAGAGATCCTGCTAAGGAAAGGGAGAGAGGAAGGGAACATGTTCTCTCCTTCAATTCCCTTAACGATGCTTTCAGGAGGTATGATTCTCCCCACCTAACAGATGAGGAAACAGAAAGGATAAGTTTCCTGCCCAAGTCACACAGCTCAACAGCAGTGAAACTCGGCTCCCCTGGTTGTGAGCTATTTCCACCAGTGTAACTCCCATCAGCTTCAGCTGACAATTCCTCCCCCTGCCTCCAGGCCCTGCCACCTCTCCCTGGTGGACATGTAGCAGATATGGTCCTTAAATTCGAGTGCATTCGAGTAGAGGTGTGGTGCCTTGTGCATAAGCTTTGATTTGGGGGGGACGTGTGTTGGTGGCTCAAACATTTGAGAATGCTGGAAATGGGAGTCTTTCCCAAAAATGCAAGATCAGTGGACATTGTGGGACATACCTGGGTTTGTTTTTTATTCCAAGACCAGCTTGTTTTCCATAGGCCCAAGCTCCATCAGCAGGCCAGGACCCTGTTCTGATTCAGACTTAGAAAGTCAGCACACACATCCGCAGTTGAGGTTGCTCCTGCTTGCGCCTGAGAAATCCTGGGATCCCCTTTCCTTCTCTTGTCTCCTGGTTCCTCTGCTTCTGGTGATGAGGCAGGGACAGCTTGGAACAAAGACCTTCATCATTTCTGTTGTGAAACTGTCCTAAGATTAGGCAACTGTGAATTTTTCATCAATATTCATTTCTCTAGTGGATTTCAACAAGATTAACTCTAAAAAATAAAAATTAACATTTCCATTCCCCGTGAAGGGTACTGGTGAATATGGAAAGAAAAATTCTTTTTTTAAAAATTAATTTATTTATTTGGCTGTGTCAGATCTTAGTTGTAGCACATGGGATCTTCGTTGCGGCATGTGGGATCTTTCGCTGTGGTGTGCAGGCTTAGTTGCCCTGTGGCACGTGGCATCTTAGTTCCCCAACCAGGGATCGAACCCATGTCCCCTGCATTGGAAGGCAGATTCTTAACCACTGGACCACCAGGGAAGTCCCGGAAAGAAAAATTCTAAAGGTGAAATTGTCTAACTCTGAAGGGCACATGCAGGAGTCCTGACCAGGCTGGGAATGAGGAGACCTACATTTTGGTCCTGACTCCCTCCTGCTGCCTGTGTGTCTTGGGCAAGTTGCTTAACCTCTCTGGGCCTCCATGCTTGTTAAGGACTCTTTCAGTGCAAATATTTTATGGTTATAAACAGGGAGAGAATCATCTCAATAACATAGTTCCTTTGTAGTACTGACTTTTACACATTCTCCATGGAGGATGATACCTGATGTTTAGAATTTTCTCTTGGTTGGAACAGGGACTTGAGTTCTTTCCAACTGTGGCCCTAAGTCTGTGGGTTTGGTAGGCCCATCAGGCTGTAGAGTCACATGCATTTTACATTGTAAAAATATTTCTCGTTTGCTCAAAATAAAATCCTGGAGGTGAAATGGTGTTTCCAAATTCCACTGAATTGTAGCCTCAGAACTAGAGCTGGACCATGTGGTCCAAACTCCTCAGTTTATAAGTGTGAAGGCCCAGAGTCAAGGAGGAAGTACCCCAGGATTCCTGGAGACTTTAAACAGAACTGGAGCTAGAACCTGGGTACCATCACACCCAATCTAGTGCTTTGCTTGTGTCCTCTCTGTATGCATAAAATTGAATAAAAACCAGTTGGAAGAGCAAAGGATTATAAATATCAGACCATAATCTTTTTTTTTTTTTTTTTTTTTTTTTGCGGTACGCGGGCCTCTCACTGTTGTGGCCTCTCCCGTTGTGGAGCACAGACTCCAGACGCGCAGGCTCAGCGGCCATGGCTCACGGGCCCAGCCGCTCCGCGGCATGTGGGATCTTCCCGGACCGGGGCACGAATCCGTGTCCCCTGCATCGGCAGGCGGACTCTCAACCACTGGGCCACCAGGGAAGCCCCAGACCATAATCTTAAGAACAACTTTAATCCATGTAAATACAGGCACAGAGATTTTTATTTATATTTTCATTTGAACATGCATCAAAACCCTGCAGTCTTCAAACACCACTATGGACATTCTATTTGCATTTCCTGAAGCCACCCCAGTGAGCAGCTCTGAAATAAATTAAGAAGAGTGGTCAAGCCTGAATGCACACCGAGGTTTCCATGTGCTCAGCTCAGCAGATTCAGGTATGACCCCTACAGAGCTTGGACTCTGAACTGGCACTAACATTCTCTACGCTCAATGACCATTTCACACAATGAATTCATCTGTGTAATTGTGCTTAGCTGTCCCAAGATTAACTCCATGTTTGCATGAAGATCAAAATGCTTACTTTAAAAAGTTTGGTTTTCTTCCATTTCTGTCTTATCTGGGGAGGTATGCATGCTTGGAATTTCTTGGGCTTTTCTTTTTCAGATCTATTCTAGGGATTGAGAATGTGAGGGCAAGTGTATGTGTGTGCGGTGGTGGGGTGACTTACCTTTTATTGTTCTGTTTTTGAAACAACAATCGGCAATCATTCTTCACTGTTTTGATGTCCTCTTGTCAAAGGCAACCCAGAACACTGGGATCTTAAAGTGGGTAACAGCATTCTTGATTGCCCCCATGCCTAGATCCTACATTAGTTAGGATTCTAGAATTCTGCTTTATTAAAATTTTTATCCTGGGTTACAATTTATGTAAAGAGAACACATCAGAAGTATGCATCTTGGTACACTTTTATATATGCATATACTTCTGCTTTGCTTATACCTTCAGTTATTGTTTGGTATCAATTGGTAGTGAAATATCCATTGAGTTTTTCCAAAGACTGCTGCATCCACCTGGGGAGGAGGCTGACATTTGGAGCTGCTGGAAGGTGGTGGTGTGCCTGGAATCAAGAGGACTTGCTTTCCACTGTTTCACCTCACTTGCACTCCAGCCACAAGTTCTGGGAGGAATATTGGAAGGCACACTGCACTTTCTCTCGCAATGGGGATCAGCAGGGAAGAGGGAGACGTTTGAATGGGGTGGGGTGTTTCCACTTAATCATTACCACCGCTGACATCAATGAAAACTAAGTAATGCAGATCATCCGCATGGGCTCCTACAATGAGTGGAAAGGAGGCCAGATTCTTAGTAAGTGCTACAGTGAGGTAGGGGATGGACAGAATACAAAACTGAGTGGGGGACGCAGGGTGGCTTGCATTTCAGCTTCAGGATACAATTGATTTTTGTGGTGGAAGGGTCCAAATTGCCCTGGCTATTTCAAAACAACGTCAGGAGAGGAGCAGTTGTGTTTTCCAGCACCCCGGTGGTTGCCCAGGACACGAGGCAGCCTTGAGGACAAATATGTCCCTCCCTGAAATAGGAAGCCAACTATTTACTTATACAAATAACACTATAAAAGGGCTTTAGAAGTTGAGCTGCAGCTCCTGAGCTTTGACCAGCCCCTAGATTTGTCTCAAAAGCCTCCTTCCGGAGGAAGGAAAGTCCTGAGGCTCTCAGGTCGAGCACTGGCTCAAACAACAATTTAAATCAAGCAGAGCCTCCACTGTCTCCAAGTTGCACCTGCCCAAGCAAACACCCTCAAGACAGCTTCCAAACAAAGATGACAATATTACCATCTCAACCTGAACGTGCATCACAACTCGGTTTCAAAATTCGTTGTGTGAAATTAAAAAAAAAAAGTTTTTATAATAAAATTCACGTTTAAATCCTATGATTTTTCATCGTATTCACTTCTTTACATCCCCTCAATTCTTGTCCCCTTCCTTTATCACACTCCTTTGGCAATATCACAACCCTGGTTAGATCTGACTCTCTGCTCACTTAGCACCTGACCCCATGTACCTGAATGAAGTTCAAGAAAAATGCTCAGCTAGGCTGGCAGCTCACACTTTAGATTCATGACCTCAAACCTTGATGGCTCCTTAGTGCTGCCGGGCAATCATATATTGGCATATCCCACTCATCAGTATTTGTTGAATGAATGCATTAAACAAATGAATTTTATTTAGGGTCCCATGGATGCTACAGTTCTCCCTGTCCAAGTTTAAAAGAGAATTTTATTTTAAAAACTTTTTTTTTAAAGTGAGCACTGACCTTGGACGCAGAAGACTTGTATTCCAGGCCTAGCCCTGCTGCTTACTAGCTGGGAAACCCTAAGCAAGTTACCCTTCCTCTCTGGGACTCAGTCTCCTCTATGAGTGAGGCAGCTGGACCAGGACGCTAGCAGATGGAGAGTCTCTCTAGATGTCGGTTGAGTGAGATGAGGTCCCTACCTTCTGCCAAAGTTCACAGATCCATGATTCTTCCTTGAGCCAAGCAAGCCCACAGCTGGGTGTCAATCAGGAGAGGGAGAAGTGAGGTCACTGACATTTAATTAGGAAGCAAGGAGAAACACTTGCAGGAGGACCCGTCTCTTCTTTATTGGTCTCTGATTTTAGTTTCTGGTCCTGCAGCTGGAAAGAGATTCCAAAGTAAGCAAACCTCTCATGATAAAAGCAAACAGTGACTTTGGTTCTGAGCAAACTTCAGATGGAGTGCAGCAGAGAGGTGACACTGGACTGGGATTCAGGGACCCGGATGTAACCCAACTCTGTCACTAGTCATCGGTCCCACCCTCCTCTTGGGCCTCAGTTTCCTCTCTGTATAATGAGTGAATTTAAGTGTCCTAAGCTTTTATCTGGCCTCCACCATTTCTGAGCACTGGTGGCATCTTTTCGCCCTTTTAAACTTGCCTGGCCTGTTTCAGATCAGAACTGGCACAGTATCAGCAAGTTTATGGTTTTATAAGCCGCAAAACATGCTTTGCAAATAAATGATGAAGGCATTGGAGTATTGCATGGAAACACCAAAGTCTTGAACAAGGTAGGACTTTGGAATTGTAAGAGGAATGGAAAGGCGTTCATGGTAGAAACACCTGTCCTTGACCTTAATACCAGATGGACAAGTGGCCACAGACTGAGGGAGATCCACTGGTGCTAGGAAAACTGTCTGGCACTTTCCCCCAGGGTGTGGTATAGTGGGCAGTTTGGGTGCTACCTGGGCAAATCATTAAAAACAAATCAAAGTCTCCAGTGAGAAGATCGCTTCAATTATCTTTCAATCTTTCTGATTCATGGGGTCTGTTGATGAGCTAGGACATTTTAATAACTCTCAAAACTTTGCTAATCTGTCCCTTTCTCCCTGACAACACTCTCCCCTCTGCCCCCACTTTTTATTAAACAGAGAGAAAAAAGGGCTCAAGCTCAGAATCTTTACCAGTCTAGAATTTGGTAATTTGTTTTGCTTTATTGTATTTATTTTTATGGTTAGGTCTCATGAATAGAAAGTGGTATTATTTTTTAATTTTAGAGTAGTTAAAATTTTATCTTAAAATACATGTAGTTAAGTTTAAAAAACTGAGTTAGTTTCTATAAAATTGTTAAGGAATAATGTGTGTTCTACACAGATACTACAACATAGGGCAGGTGGTCTCTGGGGTTTGGTAGGTGGCATTCCCCAGTCCAAACTGGCATCATTCAGATAGAGGAAGTTCTTCTGGACACCACAATAGTGCTTATAATGCCATTTATATTTACTGGTAACTCAGTTTTTGGTCTTTTTGTTTTCTTTTTAAATAAATGTGTACTTTTTCCTGATCACTTTGTGTAAAACTTGGAACTACACAAAAACATGTAGAATAAAAGGACAAAATATTTTTTAAAATATATGGAATAGAATGAAAAATCACTCGTCTCTCAGAAATAACCACGCCTAATACATTGGAAAATTTTTCTTCCTTAGTGTACCAACAGAGCTGTTATTAAAACATATGCATTAAATTTTTGTAGCCTATTTTATTTCCTTAACATTATAACATAAATGTGTCCCCACACCATTCAAAACTCTTCATAAACATTTTAAATGGTTGTAAGGTCTTTAACATAGAGAGGTCCCATAGTGGATTTAACTATTGCCCAGCTGTTTTACATCTGGGTTATTTCCAGTTCTGTCCATTAAAATGTTGTGATGGATAGCTTTATGAATCTCTATTTGCCTGCATTTTTTTTTATTTCTTTGTTTAATTTTTATTAGAGTATAGTTGATTTACAATGTTGTGTTAGTTTCAGGTGTACAGCAAAGTGAATCAGTTATACATATACATATATCCACTCTTTTTTTTTTTTTTTTGTGCTATGTGGGCCTCTCACTGTTGTGGCCTCTCCCGTTGTGGAGCACAGGCTCCGGATGCGCAGGCTCAATGGCCATGGCTCACAGGCGCAGCCGCTCCGCGGCATGTGGCATCTTCCCGGACCGGGGCACGAATCCGTGTCCCCTGCATCGGCAGGCGGACTCTCAACCACTGCGCCACCAGGGAAGCCCTCCACTCTTTTTTAGATGCTTTTCCCATACAGCTTATTACAGAGCATCGAGTAGAGTCCTCTGTGCTATACAGTAGGTGTTGCCTGCATTTTGGATGGTTTCCTTACAATAATTCCAGAAGTGGCATTCCTAGGTGGGAAGATTTTTAAGGCTTTTGGGATACATATTGCTAAACTTTTTCCAAAAGTGTAGGGACCTGAAGGTACTCCGATCTGAACCCATGTGATGGGACACACTTGGGTTTGTGTATGTAAGGTGGGCTTGTTACTGGAAAGAGCTCAGACTCCGCCACTTTGGGCCAGTTACCTAACTTCACCACCTCCTGCTGGTGCGGGTCTGACCAGTCCCTGCCTGACCAAGAGCAAGTGTTCTTTACATCTAGGCTCATGAGTGTTCATATTTCAGCTCAAAAGGTACACATGTCATGAACTTCACCATATGTGATTCTCCCTTCATGTAAAGGATCAACAACCATTGATTTTTTGAGAAATCTCCATACTGTTTTCCATAGCGGTGGCATCAATTTACACTCCCACTAACAGTGAATGAAGGTTCCCTTTTCTCTACATCCTTGCCAACTCTTGTTATTTGTTGTCTTTTTGATGATAGCCACTCTGAGAGGTGTGAGGTGGTATATCATTGTGGTTTTGATTTGCATTTCCCTGATGATTAGTAGTGTTGAACATCTTTTCGTGTGTTTATTGGCCTTGTATATCTTTTTTTGGAAAAATGTCTATTCAGGTCCTCTGCCCATTTTTAAATTGGGTTGTTTGTTTCTATGATGTTGAGTTGTATGAGTTCTTTGTATATTTTGGATATTAACCCTTTGTCAGATATATTGTTTGCAAATATCTTCTCCCTTTCAGGAGGTGGACTTTTCATTTTGTTGATAGCTTCCTTTGCTGTGTAAAAGCTTTTTAGTTTGATGTAATCCCACTTGTTTATTTTTGCTCTTGTTTCCCTTGCCTGAGGAGACATATCCAAAAAATACTGCCTTTATTTTCTTATAGAAGTTTTATGGTTTCAGGTCTTACATTTAAGTCGTTAATCTATTTTGAGTTTGTTTTTCTGCATGGTGTGAGAAAGTAGTCCAGTTTGATTACTTTGCAGGTAGCTGTCCAGTTTTCCCAACACCATTTATTGAAGAGGCTGTCTTTTCCCCATTGTATATTCTGGTCTCCTTTGTCATAGATTAATTACCCATATAAATGTGGGTTCATTTCTGGGCTGTCTATTTGGTTCCATTGATCTATGTACCTGCTTTTGTGCCAGTACCACACTGTTTTGATTACTGTAGCTTTGTAGCATAGTTTGAAATCAGGGAGCATGATACCTCCTGTTTTGTTCTTCTTTCTTAAGATTATTTTGGCTATTCAGGGTCTTTTTGTGGTTCCATACAAATTTTAGAATTATTTGTTCCAGTTCTGTGAAAAATGTCATTGGTATTTTGATAGGGATTGCACTGAATCTGTAGATTGCCTTGGGGAGCATCGTCATTTTAACAATATTAATCCTTCCAATCCATGAACATGGTATATCTTTCCATCTGCTTGCATCATCTTCAATTTCTTTCATCAATGTCTTATAGTTTTCCAAGTATGTTTTAATTGTTTATTGCATGATTACTACATCAGTGGTGTAGACACCTGGCTGACTGCTTGGGAAGGCACACAGTTACACCTCTGCCTCACATCACACATCCCGATAAAATTCTAACATCTATGAAAGAGTGCATATAAATCAACAAACAATTGGAAAACCATGTCCCATAGAGAACTGGATAAATTATGGAATACTGATACTATGGACTATTATCAAATCATTAAAGTCATGTTTTAGAAGAGTATTTAGTGCTCATGATACATTGTTAAGTAAAATAGCAGGCTACAAGAAAGTATACAGGTTATGATCGCAATTTTGTAGACTAATTTCCCACAATATATCTGGAAGAGTGTTCATGTGCACACACACATAACTGAAGTGTGTGAGTCCACACAGTGTATACACATACATAGACATGTATCATGAAACATATCAAAATGATAATAGTGATTATCTCAAGTCATTCTTACTTACATATATTTATTGTTTTGTTTTTTCCTAAAGTTCCACAATGAAGATTCATTACTTGTATAATATGGAAAATCAATAAATGTTATTTAGAAAATGAATCTATGATGGTTTTAATATTAAAATAATTTAAACACTTTGGTGAAAGAAAGTGGAAAAAAATTGGGGGAGCCTGCACCATGAAGGCTGGGAATCCGGTTGCCTGAGCAGCTCTACTTTTTCCTGATGCCTTCCATGGAATGACCAAACACGACTATAAACTTCTGGAACCCGACACCATGCGTAGGCTATGTTTCTCTGACGAGGGAACCTGCTGGCCAGTCTTGGGAACCTTGCTCTTGTGTTACACAAGACAGGCTAGGGGTGGCCCAGGGCATCTCTCCATTTCCAGGGGAAAAATTAAGTTCACGGTTAGCGTTTTCTCAATTAAAATTTTTCTCCTATAAAATTTTCTTAAACATTTGATGCCTGAAGTTACTCTGATATATTAGAATCTAGTCTGAGACTATATCAGATTTAGTCCTGATTATATATGTAACTGTCTTAAGTTGATACATCAACATTTCAATATGCACTGGTTCTCCAAAGAATGAAGACTACAACAGTCTGGGTACTTGTTTTCACAAGTTCTCCAGGTGATTCTGAAACATGCCAGCTTGAGACTGCCTGTTGGTGTGTGTTCTAAAGTAGTGGGTCTGAAACTTTGCTGTAATTAGAATCATTTGTGCAGATTTTAAACCTCCCAATGGCAAAAGTACCCCCGACCACTAAACTCAGAATCGGTATTTTTTTTTAAAGTTTCCCAAGTAATGCCAACGTGCAGCCAGGTTTGAGAAACACTGCTCTAACGAGAGCAACCTGAAATCCAGGTGCTGCAGCTCCCGAGCTTGAGAATCACAGCTTTGGTAAGAGCCCTGAGTCTTAATCATTTTGTGTTCTCTGTCTCCATCTGCTGGCCATCCTGCTACATAGCTATAGTTTACAACTTGAGTTTCCAAGACATGCTGCAGCTTGTATGTACTTTTAAGAATGTTCGCCAACTTGTGAATATAACAAAGAAACAGATTCACAGATATACAGAACAAACTAGCGGTTACCAGTTGGAGTTTAAGAGGCACAAACGACTATGTATAAAATAAGTAAGCCACAAGGATATATTGTACAGCACAAGGAATATAGCCAATATTTTATAATAACTATAAATGCAGTATAACCTTTAAAAATTGTGAATCACGATGGTGTACACCTGAAACTTATATAATATTGTACATCAACAATATCTCAATTAAAAAAAATGTTTGGGACTTCCCTGGTGGCCCAGTGGTTGGGAATCTGCCTGCCAATGCAGGGGACATGGGTTTGAGCCCTGGTCTGGGAAGGTCCCACATGCCACGGAGCAACTAAGCCTGTGCACCACAACTACTGAACCTGCGCTCTAGAGCCCGGGAGCTACAACTACTGAGCCCACATGCCACAACTACTGAAGCCCACGCACCTAGAGCCCGTGCTCCGCAACAAGAGAAGCCACTGCAATAAGAAGCCCGCGCATCGCAATGAAGAGTAGCCCCTGCTCGCCACAAACAGAGAAAGCCCACGCGCAGCAATGAAGACCCAAGGCAGCCAAAAATAAATAAAAAATAAAATTTAAAAAATGTTTGCCAAAAGAATCAGAGAACCAAAAAGATTTTAAATGTTTAATACAAATAGCTACAAAATATATTCTTGTTTCTAATAGGATGGTTTAAGTGTTAGAAATGCATTAACATAATGCATCTAGGATCATTTTTGTGCTTGGCAAATAAAAAGCAGCCAATAAATGTTGATTATTACCGTTATAATTAGGCATAAGATAAACTCCCATCTTTTAAAATATATTTAAAAAATATATTTAGTGCTACTATACCTGGCACACAGTTGGCTATGTGTACCCAATGGTACAAAGATACAGTCTGTACAGTGACAAAGAGAGATCAAGAGAGTGTGTGTGTGTGTATGTGTGTGTGTGAGAGAGAGAGATTTTTTAAATTATAGATGTTTGGGGGAGTATTCTGTACTATGCGTTCTGTCACGTGCATAGATTTATGTAACTACCACCACAATCAGGACTCCAAACAGTTCCATCATCCCTCCAAAACTCCCTCATGCTTCCCTATAGTCGAATCCTGCCCCCATCCCAATCCCTGCAAACCACTGATTTGTCTTCCATTCCTAAAGTTTTGCCTTTTCCATAATGTCATGTAAATGGAATCACAGTTTGTAACATTCTGAGAGTGGCTTCTTTCACTCAGCATAATTTTCTTCCTTCTGCTTGCTCTAGGTTTTTTTCTTATTTTCCTCGTTAAGTTTGAAATTTAGGTGATTGTTTGAAACCTTTCTTCTTCTCTAAAATAAGTACCAAATATTATAAATTTCCATCAAAGCTTTGCTTTAGCTGCATCTATACGTTTTGATATGTTATATATCAAATACTATTATATTTTCATTTTGTTCAGTTTCAAGTATTTTCTAAGTTCTCATTTTCCAATATCCTTTGAGACTTGCCCCTTCGACCTCCTATGGATTACTTAGAAGTATGTTATTTAATTTCAAGTAATTAGAGATGTCCTGGTGATTGATTTCTGGCTTAATTTCATTATGGTCAGAGATCATACTTGGTATGATTTCAATTCTTAAAAATCTGTTGAGTTTCATGATCCAGAATATGGTCTATTTGTCCTATTGGTTACTGAGAAAGGAGTGAGTGTTAAAAGTCTCCAACTGTTAATTGCTGACTTGCCATTTCTCCTTTCAGTTCTATCAGTCTTTGCTTCATGTGTTTTGAAGATGTGTTGTTAGGTTCATATCCATTTAGCATTGTTAGGTCTTCTCTGTGACTTGACACTGTTATCATTATGCAATTTCCATGTTTATGCCTGGTAAATTTTCTTGCTCTGAAGTCTATTTTGTCTGACAGTATATAGCTACTCCAAATTTCTTTTGATTAGTATTTGCATGGTATATTTTTCTTTCTCCTTTTATTTTTAACCTATACTACTTATTTTAAATGGGTTTCTTATAAAACGCATATAGCTGGGTCTTGGATATTTTTACATTCGGACAATCTCGTCTTTTAATTAGTATACTTAGACCTTTTAAACTTAATGTAACTGTTGATATGTTTGGATTTAGGTCTACTGTTTTTTGTTTTCTATTTGTTCCCTATGTTTTTCATTCCTGTCTTTCGTTTCCTGTCTTCTTTTGGATTATTTGAATATTTTTTAGTATTCCACTTTACCTATTGAGCTTTTAAATATATCTTCTGTGTAATTTGTGTGTGTGTGCATGTGGTTTCTTTAGCGATTAAAAAATACTTAACTTTTCATAGGTTGTTTGGGATTAATATTTTATCATTCAAGTGAAATATAGAAATCTGACTACCGTATAAACCTCTTCACACTTCCTCTTTATGTGGTAACTTTCATGTGTATTACACCTATATTCACTGAAGACCCCGTCAGACAATGTTATAAGTCTTGTTTTAACTGATTATACATGTTATAAAAAGCTTAAGATGAGAAAAATAGTCTATTTATCCAAATATTTCCCATTTCTGTTGCTCTTCCTTCATTCTCACGGTTTTGAATTTCCCTCTGGTGTCACAGTTCTATTAACAAAATATTATCACACCAAGAAGTCAAATGAGAAAACCCAGAGAGCAAGAGAAAGCAATGGGCATCACTCTCTTGCTGTTGGGACCGCACTTCCTCTGGTCAGAGAGAAGGGTTCCCCTCCCTGAAGTTTTAGGCACCTGCCTGGCTGTGACAGCCTCTGCTGCAGTGGGATTACCGAGGGGCTGGAGTGGGAGATGAGAAGCAGCAATAAACAGGGATCTCCCTGACTCTCTCTGACTTACATAGGCCCTCTTGCCCCATCCTAGGACCAGAAATAGACAGCTTCTCTGGGAGCTCCTTCTGCCTTCATGGTATGCAGGTCCAGGATTCTGTCTGCTTGGAGTCCAGGCCAGGAGACACCAGAGTGGGAAAATCAGTAAACTTACTGCCAGTTTGGTGGTACTCGGAGTTCCCCTTTCCTTCCCTGATCTTCCTGTTATTCTTTCCTTTCCAAGATAGCTGCTCCATGCATTGAGTCCAGGCACTACAGCTCCATGCATTGAGTCCAGGCACTACAGCTGCATGCAGTGGGAGAGACAGGGTGGGCTAGGACTGGAATCAGAATAAGAGATGGATTTTTATGTAACAAACAGGGCCGTGGATTTACAAAGGCTGAAAAATGCTCCCTTAGGGCACCCTAACTGAGGAAGAGATTCTCTTTTCCCCTGCAGTGTGGTGGCTAGAAGCCTAATCCTTGGTATGAATTTTTACATTCATTTTTCCAGATGAACTTTAGAATCATTTTGCCATTAAAAATATTGTTTTTGATAGGACTTAAGCTAAATTTATAGTTTCAGAGAGATATGGTCTTTTTATAATAAAGGGTCCTTCTATCTAGGAACATGGTATATCTTCTCATTTTTTTTTTTTTCCCCTTTTTGCGGTACGCGGGCCTCTCACCGCTGTGGCCTCTCCCGCCGCGGAGCAACAGGTTCCGTACGCGCAGGCCCAGCAGCCACAGCCCACGGGCACAGCCGCTCCACGGCACGTGGGATTCTCCCAGACCGGGGCACGAACCTGTGTCCCCTGCATCGTCAGGCGGACCCCCAACCACTGCACCACCAGGGAAGCCCTCATTTTTTTTTTTTTTAATGTCGTCTTCAATGACCTCCAACAAATTTTTTTAATTTTTTCACAAAATCCTTGCATACGCTTTGGTTAGTTTTATTCCTGGGTATGTTATTCCTTTTATTACTATTGTGATAGGATTTTTTTTTTTTTTCCCGGTACGCGGGCCTCTCACTGCCGCGGCCTCTCCCGTCGCGGAGCACAGGCTCCGGTCGCGCAGGCCCAGCGGCCACGGCCCACGGGCCCAGCCGCTCCACAGCACGTGGGATGCTCCCGGACCGGGGCACGAACCCGCGTCCCCCGCATCGGCAGGCAGACCCCCAACCACTGCGCCACCAGGGAAGCCCGATAGGATCTTTTTTAACATTAAAAAAATCCTATTGGTTATTGTTGATATATAGAGGAGCTATTGATTTTGGCATATTTACTCTGTAACCAGCTACCTTACAGAACTTTTATGCTATTATTTTCTGAGTTGATTTTCTACAAATAATTATTTGTGAATTCCATCCCTCAGACTGGTGTTCTACAAATAAAGATAATTTGGAACCTCTCTTTGAAAAAACTTGGAAAATTCTACTTTTGGTTTATTTAATCACACTATCAAATTACACAATGTTAGGTAACAGTGGTGCTGACAGGCTTGCTTGTCTTGGTTGTGACTTTTTTAGCAAAGTCACCATCAAGATAGAAATATTTTATGATGTTAACGAAGCATCTTTTTTTATTCTTTAAAATCTTTAAAAGGATTTTTGATCAGTAAAGAACATTGAGTTTTATCAAGTGCTCTTTCAGTAACCATAAAAATGACCATTTTTATGAGTTTTCTTATTTGACCTATCAATGTGATAACATTTTGTTAACAGAACTTCTAAATTTAAAAAATACCTGTGTTCCTAGAGTCAATCCTACTAGGTCATAGAATAGATGGCAGAGCAATAATTCTCAAGGAAGGGCTTTTTCCATTGACACAGCTGCTCCTGTTTAGAATTATGTCTCCAGAGAGGCTGCACTTTATTAATGAGGTGAAGGCCGAATGAACCGGAGTAACTAGAACTCACTTAGCTCTTACGTTCGTGAGATTCTGCTCCTCGTCTGGATTCACATACAAATATCAAAATCAGGGAAGTTGCTGCCCTGCTATTCTATAGGAGGTTTCTGTCTACCCTCTAATCACCTTAGGGCACTGGCTCTACCATTAACTAATTCTACAAAAGAGGTTACAGTGTGCGTCTTCCTCGGGTTCTAGAAGTGGGCAGGAATTAGTGGGTTTCACAGGAAAGGTTTGAATATAAGTGATGCTTCCTAATGCTGTCAGTTCAATGAATAAAGAATCTAGACATCTGTGCCAAGCTGATTCCTCCAAATTTTTCTTTCAAATATCAAAAGAAAGTTCAGAATTTGGCATTCTGAATTAGAATTCTGTATCAGAGCCAGACTTCCTACTGTTTCTGCGTCAAATAAGTTCCGGCCCTTTATTCTCTGAGTGGCTTCCTTTCATAATGGCAGCTTTACTGAGGCCCCAGCCCAGGTGTCTGAGAGGAGCCCCTGGCCCAGGTGTACACCCACAAAGCCACAGGGAGAAGAGAATCAGCACCCCATTGGGATGGAAGCCCACACCCTGCATTATGGAATTTCTAGAAGTGCTTACCCTTGCTTTTTCCCTGCATACGAATATTAACATCTGTTTTCAGAAACCTGGACACCTTAATGGAAGCAAAAGGTTTAGAAAGAAAAAAATTAGATTTTATTCAAGATAAGCAAAGTATAAGAGTGAATCATCAAGTAAAACCATTCAAAGTCACTTCACAGATATTTTATCAAGGAACCCACCAGTGAAAGCCCAAAGAACCAGGAATAAGTTATATATGCCACATTTTTACTTTCATGAAAACAACAAGCAAATAAACTGCTACTAAGAATATATTCCTTCAAGAGAAGGAAGTCCTAAGATTCATTGCAGGGTCAGTACAGGTTCAACTCAGTTCCATGGCCTCTATAAAAAATCGTGTCCAGAATCATCTCCAAAGAAAAGCAAGTCTAAAGAATGCTCTATATGGTAGTTTTTACTGTGCTGATAGTCTCATTCTTTGGAAACTTGTACTCTACCAACAGAAAAGTGAGCCTTCAGCTCTCTGAGCACTCTGTTCCCTAGTCTTTGCCTAAACAGTATTTTCTGAACATACAACACCACAGAGGGAGAAGAGTATCTTAAGGGCAAAGAAGAAAAACTGAGGACGTATGTATGCTGTGAAATATGTATTTTAAGCTAAATAACCATAGGTAAATAATATATTGCCCAAACCCACTCTACGTATCTTGATTCTTATTTATCCCATATCAAGTATAAGTGTGGAATCTTTTATTATATATCTCTAAATTCCTGACTGAAATAATTTCCAATAAATTGTTGGTGGTCAAGAGATGTACACAAAATTTAAATGTCAATAATTTTTCAGTGAGAAATTACTTTTTATAACTGCTTGGGCATTATCAAAATACAACTTAAAAACCTTTCTTTGTAATCATCTAAATTAAACAAATAATCCTTTTTTAAAGCACAAACCCAAAAGTGGCAAAACAACCATAAATTTAGCATATGGGACCACATTCTCCTAAAGGGCATTAGGAAATTCAGATAGAAGCTGATGTTACGGCCAGGGTGAAATGGACATGGGCCTAGGCCAGAGGCCCTTGCGTGCCAGTTCACTCTTTACAGGCTTCAGGGAAGGCGTGGAGGGCTTCCAGGGTTGCCACTTGGGGAGCTCAGTGCCACCGCTATTTATTAACCTGTAAGGAACCGTCTCAGTATTTTAGCAACTGATGCAGCTGTACCAGAACGAACTGGCTGAACAGCAGCTCTGCTCACAGCTTTCTATAAATGCAACTTGATAAAAATGGTAGATTATGGGCACACTGCTTTACATTAGTTTATTATAAAAGAAAAACAATTCCCAGAGACACAATATACAACATTCTAACTCCGAAATCCTTTTGCTATTCTAAAAATACTCTTCTGAGACTAAACACTCTTTACAACCCCCAGTCTGCTCAGCCCACAAGACAACCCAACTCCTTGGCTCCCGCGTGCACAGGTCAGGGGTTCCAACAACCATGGCCATGGCCAACACAGTGAAACCACTCTCTAAAGTGGCTGAGCCCTTTAAGAAAAATTTAAATAGCTGCTAACTCAATCTAAATAAATAGTGAAAGGACTGTTTCTGCCCCTAAGATTAAATCCCACACATCTGATGCTCAAACTCAGGTCTTCCTGTCATCACTTGACACATGGAGGGTCCGGCAAAATATTCACCGATTTGTTAATCCTAAGAGTGCTACTTGTGATCCAGATGAGTCAAAATAAACGGCCAGGATATCTTCTAAAAAGCCCATGATGGCCCTTTTGGCTGTGTCGCCAGCCAATGCCTGGACACTGCTTATGTGCTCCAGGGCTGTTTTGACCATCTGGTCTCTTTCCTGTGGGTTGTGGGGTGCTCCAGTGTCATCTCTCTCTGTTCCTGATTTTAAAAACTGTAGGATATAGGACTGGACCATGTCCCCATTCAATTCAAGGGTTTCTTTGATGCAGGACAGGTCTGAGGCGCTGGCCAAGCTCAAGAGGTGAATCAGTGCCTGGCAGATTTGGGTCCGTAGGCTAGCACAGTACTTGAATTCCAAAAAGTCTGTGGTGTCTTCACTCTTCTGTAAGGCAGTGACCAATGCATTCCAGATCTGAGCGTACTGGTCAACAGATCCATAGTGCTCTCTCTTGCCCGGGACAGAAAGGGCAGCGGCAGATCTGATGCGCACTTTGAAGTTCTTGCATGATGTCACAACTGATGTCAGGGCGTTGTAGGCCTGGGAGGTCCACAGGGCTGTTCCTAGAAAGAATCCATAGTCATTAAAGCAAATAAAGGTTTAAAAATAAGTGGGGTGAGAGGGGTAGAAGGAAGCACATACACTAGTGCTCAAGTTAGTCATTTTATGTTTTCATTTAATTCTCACAATAATCCTACAAGATCGGGGTGGTGAGTGACTATGGGATCCTAGGTAAGTGGCCAAGTACCGGCTCCCAAAGCTCTCCCTTTCCCTAGATGAGCATGACATGTGCTCAGGACTTCTGCTACCCTGAATAGGAACTTTGGTGACTTAGAAAGAGGCTCCTTCTCTGGGAAGATGCTCGTCTGAGGGGGTAAGGCTTGGTGGGAGAAGCAGGGACTGAACTGCAGCCCCACCTGTCCTCTCGGCTGGGTGCTTCTGAGCAGTGCACAAAGTGCACAACTGTATGCCCAGCCCTGCTCATGCTGGCAAAAGGCCATTTCACCACACAGATTAGCATCTAGACCCTGCTCTGGACAAAGCAAGTCATGCATTTAATTGCAAAGAAAAAGAAAATACTGTCTAGGCAGTGACTGGGGGACAGAGGACTCAGATTAAGTGAAGGCTCAATTTTCTAATATTGAGAAGATGATGCCTAGATTCTTGGCTCCTCTCGCTTCCTGTTGGCCCCAGGAAATCGGCCAGCTTTATTCCTTGTCAGAGTTACCACTTACTCCATTTCGGGAGTTCTCAGTCCTCAAGGTGGGCAGCAGAGTAGAAGGCAGCTTCCCTAATGCTCCCAGCCCTTCCCAACATCTCTGATGTCTCTGAAGACAGGCAGCAGATACCCAGCTTCCATGAGCTCCAACCCCAAAGGTTACTTCAGGCTGTTTCCTCAGTGGAAAAAGCCACGAGGCTACATCTCCACTGGTTCCCGGCTGACTGGTCCGCCTGGACGCTCTTGGCAGTAAAGGGGAGAAGAGCCAGATTTCCCTAACGTGATGCAGGCTCTGCTGGCCCAGAATGGCTTCACCTCTCCAGGAACACACACTTCTGTTTCAAATCTTGTCACAGAGACAAATATGTAAGGTAAATGCTGGCAATTCAAGCGACTGGGATTAGGAGGCTGCGATCCAGACACCCAAGCAGCTGTCAGCCACTGATGATATATCAAGGTGCACAGCATGTCATTACTCAGAGGCAGATCCCTACGCAGCATTCCACTTCAGTACCAAGGGCGCATATGGAATCTCCAATTTATACCCTCTTCCTCCCAGGTCTGTTTTCCCCTTTATTTTTTTCCTGATTGTTAAAATGATAGATGCTCACTGTAAAAAACTTAGAAAATGAAAGCAGATAAAATCCTACTCATCATCCCATTCAGAGGCAACCACTGTTAATAATTAGACTAATTTCTTTTCAGTCTTTTTTCTATCCATTAACTGAGATTGTACTGTAGAAACAATTTTCATATCCTGTTTTAATTTGCTTAACATCAGAAGTATTTTCCCAGATTACCAAAAACTTTTTGTAAACATAACTTTAAGTGGCAACAAAGTACCTCTCTGAATATATATACCATGATTTATCTCACCTTTCCCCTAAACTGGGGTGTTCAGTATGTTTCCATTTTTTAAAACATTATGAATAATACTGTGGCTTTACAAACAATGCACACTGGTGTGTGCTGTCCAAAGAGGCCCTCCACCAGAGAGAAGAGGGAGACATTCTTACCTAAGGGAAGAGCAGAATTTTTAAATACATTCCCCATTGCGTAACAAGCATTCCATCGGACTTTCATGGCAGCCTCAATTAGAACAGTAGAAATTAGGGCCTGGATAGCCTCCTCGATGATTTCAGCAAATCTGGGTTTTTCTATATGAGATGGTTGCAGAAAATGAAGCAAATTTCCAAGGGCCCGGACTGCATTGCTTTTTACCTAGAATCAAACGTAAAACATGCTAAAGACATGTGTCAGAATGTATAATTTCCACTTAAAAAAATCCAGGATGCCCAAGACATCTTAAAGCAAGAGAGATAATGAAAAATTCAGCCTGTAAAGGTGCAAGTTCTTAGAACTCGGCAAGGTCTTGTGTGGTTAACATCCTGAGCCATCAGAGAGGTCAGGTTCTGCAGAGCTCCTCGCCCTGATTTTTTTAATGTTAGACTGGACTTCAGAGAGGTCCATTTTCCTTGTGGTACAGAGATGGTGTGTAAGGCCCAGGGGCAACAGGACACTGGTGGTTTGCAGTAAGGCTTGGAGGAAAAGCTAGGTTTCATAATTCCAGTCAATACTTTTCTGCTAGACTAGAGTCTCAACCTTTGCAGCATACTAGAATCATCTGGGAAGCTTTCTTTTTAAAAAACCAATTCTGACTAAATTAGCCTGATATAGGGCTTCCCAGAACCACTGTACTAAATTAAGCACTTGCTATCGGTCAGGTACTATGCTAGGTGCTATTAAAAAAAGGCATCTTGTCAATGGAACAGGAGAGAAAGCCCAGAGATAAACCCACGTACATATGGTCACCTTATCTTTGATAAAGGAGGCAAGAATATACAATGGAGAAAAGACAACCTCTTCAATAAGTGGTGCTGGGAAAACTGGACAGCTACATGTAAAAGAATGAAATTAGAACACTCCCTAACACCATACACAAAAATAAACTCAAAATGGATTAAAGACCTAAATGTAAGGCCAGACACTATAAAACTCTTAGAGGAAAACACAGGCAGAACATTCTATAACATAAATCACAGCAAGATCCTTTTTGACCCACCTCCTAGAGAAATGGAAATAAAAACAAAAATAAACAAACAGGACCTTATGAAACTTAAAAGCTTTTGCACAGCAAAAGAAACCATAAACAAGACGAAAAGACAACCCTCAGAATGGAAGAGGGGCTTCCCTGGTGGCACAGTGGTTGGGAGTCCGCCTGCCGATGCAGGGGACATGGGTTCGTGCCCCGGTCCGGGAAGATCCCACATGCCGCGGAGCAGCTGCGCCCGTGAGCCATGGCCGCTGAGCCTGCGCGTCCGGAGCCTGTGCTCCGCAACGGGAGAGGTCACAACGGTGAGAGGCCCGTGTACCGCAAATGGAAGAAGATATTTGCAAACGAATCAACGGACAAAGGATTAATCTCCAAAATATACAAGCAGCTCATGCAGCTCAATATTAAAAAAACAAACAACCCAATCCAAAAATGGGCAGAAGACCTAAACAGACATTTCTCCAAAGAAGATATACAGACTGCCAACAAACACATGAAAGGATGCTCAGCATCACTAATCATTAGAGAAATGCAAATCAAAACTACAGTGAGGTATCACCTCACACCAGTCAGAATGGCCATCAGCAAAAAATCTACAAACAATAAATGTTGGAGAGGGTGTGGAGAAAAGGGAACCTTCTTGCACTGTTGGTGTGAATGTAAATTGATACAGCCACTATGGAGAACAGTATGGAGGTTCCTTAAAAAACTAAAAACAGAACTACCATATGACCCAGTAATCCCACTACTGGGCATATATCCTGAGAAACCATAATTCAAAAAGAGTCATGTACCACAATGTTCATTGAAGCACTGTTTATAATAGCCAGGACGATGGACACCTAAGTGTCCATCGACAGACAAATGGATAAAGAAGATGTGGCAAATATATACAATGGAATATTACTCAGCCATAAAAAGAAATGAAATTGAGTTATTTGCAGTGAGGTGGATGGACCTAGAGTCTGTCATACAAAGTGAAGTAAGTCAGAAAGAGAAAAACAAATACTATATGCTAACACATATACATGGAATCTAAAAAAAAAGGTTCTGAAGAACCTAGGGGCAGGACAGGAATAAAGATGCAGATGTAGAGAATGGACTTGAGGACACGGGGAGGGGGAAGGATAAGCTGGGACGAAGTGAGACAGTGGCACGGACATATATATACTACCAAATGTAAAATAGATAGCTAGTGGGAAGCAGCCGCATGGCACAGGGAGATCAGCTCAGTGCTTTGTGTCCACCTAGAGGGGTGGGATAGGGAGGGTGGGAGGGAGATGCAAGAGGGAGGAGAAATGGGGATAAGTGTATATGTATAGCTGATTCACTTTGTTATACAGCATAAATTAGCACACCACTGTAAAGCAATTATACTGCAATAAAGATTTTAAGAAAAAAAAAAGGCATCTTGGAATCCAATGAGGTATATGTAACAACTTCCATGTTACAGAAGAAATTCACCTTCGTAGAAGTTAAATAATGCACCAAAGGTCACTTAGCTAGTAACCGGCAAGCCAGGATTTGAACCATGTCTGCCTGACCCTAAAGCTTAGGTCTACATTTTTAAAACTTAATAGTGTAACAGGGAATGTTCAAAGCCAAGCTGCTCATCTTTCTGACTTGTCTATTCTACTTAAAGATTTTTGGAAAAAAACAGCTACATGGACATATCATGGAGTAGTCTTACAAATGGCACTGACGGGCTTCCCTGCTGGCGCAGTGGTTAAGAATCCACCTGCCAATGCAGGGGACACAGGTTCGAGCCCTGGTCCGGGAAGATCCCACATGCCACGGAGCAACTAAGCCACAACTATTGAGCCTGCGCTCGAGCCCGCGAGCCACAACTACTGAAGCCCGTGCGCCTAGAGCCCGTGCTCTGCAACAAGAGAAGCCACCACAATGGGAAGCCCGCACACCACAACATAGAGTAGCCCCCACTCACTGCAACTAGAGAAAGCCCGCGCGCAGCGACAAGCACCCAATGTAGCCAAAAACAAATAAGTAAAATAAATAAATAAATTTTAAAAATAAAATAAATGGCACTGATATTTTTCATGAGACAGGAAAGAAACTGTACAAGTGTGGAGTGTACACTACATACCCTGAGTACACCCTCAATCTCCTTTGAACAGGGATAAATTTGGTGGGATAAAACTATAATACACTAAGTATCTAACTGAAAAATATTAGGTTTTGCTGTCAGTCTACCTTGTCTTTATCCTTGGATGCCTCTATAGCTGATCGCAGCATCTTCAAGAGCAGGAGGCCAGAGAATTCTTCCTGGAAACTTGGGTCTGGTGTTTCCCTGTCCCATCCAAAGCAGGCAAAACATGTTAAAAGGTAAAGCCCAGTTAAATATAGACACGTACAAATTATATTCACTCAGTATAACTATAAAAACAGCTCCACAAATCTGTTCAGATTATACCAAGAACTTACAGTTTATACCTTTTGACCTAGTAGGTCCACATTCTTTTGGATGTAACCAAAAAGAATATCTCAAAATGGAGAGATTTCATGCACGAAAATGTTCAATGCATATAAAAGCCTAAAATAACATGAATGTTCACTTACAGGGTAATGGTGAAATAATCATCACATAGTGCTGACTGTGTAATAATAAATACCAATTTATAAAAAGTCAGTAGAAGTCAGGAGAATGCTTATACATGTTATATGTTAGAGTTAAATGACAAAAAGCAAGATACTTGTGTATGAATAAAGCAGTCGCCTCTGGGGAGGGAAACTAGGGGATTAAGGTAGGAGAAAGGCTTTATACTGCATACCCCTTTGTACCGTTTGAATTCTTTTTTTAACCTGTGAATATATTACTTAAAAAAATACAAACACAATATTTAAAAAGTAGGGCAACCATTACTAAGGTTTTGGTTTTATAATAGGGCTCAAAGATATCCTCTTGGGACCTTAGGCTTGGAAGTCACCCAGGAGAAATGAGCTGAGTCACCTACATGTTGACAATCAGAGTGTCTGTCAGGTTGCCTAGGGACCAGGCTGCTTTGGCCCGGACATTAAGAGACTTGTCTTGAAGTGACATCAATATTGCATTTGCTGTGTCTGCAACAAATATGACATCCTGTAAGATAAACAAAACAAAACACTGTAGTCACTTTAGGAGTTCACACTGCTACCTTGAAAATTCTCAAATTTATTTGCAGATAAAGCTGTAAGCCTTCACCACAAATCTCTGTTTGGAAATCAAAATTCATTTACTCAATCTATTTACTCTTCTTCTTATATATTACAATTTGGACACTCATTAAAATCCCAGGGGAAGGTCTCCCACGATTCTGGTATGTGCCATGCACATGCAAGGAGCCTACAGATTTTGCTCTTGTGAACATCTTATAACCCAGCCTGCGACAACTGTCTAAATTCTGAGCTTGGCTTGATTTCCACCTCAGGAAGAGATGTGGACAATGAAACACATTTCCAAAACACATCCTGTTCACTTACACACTTCTCAGAGAGATAAAGGTCACAAGTAAGAGTGAAGGAGAAATTTATTTCCTTCTTAATAAAAACTCTTAGTTTTCTAAATTATTAGTATCGTATGGTAATGTCCCATTTCATTTTTTCCAATTATCCATTGATTTAAACATTTACTGTTTTAGGGTCCTGGCCAGTGTGCAAAATCGTTAAAAACAAATGAACTACAGGCAGTAGCATATTTTAGTAGCAATTAAGGAAACCAGATTACAAAGCAATTTAATTTCCTTTACTGTCCAACTCAGGAGCTCTATATCCACCAAAGAGAGTAAGAAAATGGACTGTAAAGAGGCACAGTGGAGCTACACAGGCTCACTCTGACCTGTCTGAGACACGGAAAAAGCACGTAGACCCCAAGGGCCCGAGAGGTCGCAGCTTTCACTAATCGGTTCTTGCTGTCATTCAGCCCCAGCAGCATGGTGATGCACAGGATCTGCCTGTCACTCTGCAATGAGAAAGGTTGGCCAAGGAAAAGTGCGAATGAAACAGCCATGAGCCGATACCTTCGACAAGTGACTGTGACACACCTGTGTTGAATCCACATTCAGGAGTTGACCACAACTGAGCCCTTGAGGTTAACTTGGCAGAGAACAAAGGTTCAACTCAGATCCAGTTATCATCTGAGTACCCACTCGGGGCAGGGGGACACACAGCATCGTGATTACATTTAACCTCTACCATCGTGAGTCAGGTCACTTTATTCTCCTACTTTAGTCAAGCTGCCTTCCTTATAAAAACTAATTTACATAAATAAGAATGGAAGCAAATGCCATTAAGGATTAAAGGAAGTAGCAGTCTGAACACTATGTGTGTTGGGCACCAAGCAAGGCGTTTTCACATGCTTCATGTTATTACTCACATCATTTACATTTTATAGGGGATAAAACTAAGTTTTAGAGAAGTTAAGATAACCAAAGAGCTAGAAGGTAGAAGAGCTGAGATTCAAACCAGCTAGGATTTAAATCCAAAGAGCTAGGATTTTCTAACTTTTGGATTTGAAATCTTTCTGAAATCTGACCTCAAAGCCTCTGCTACTTTCACTTCTCTCTCCCTGCCTTCTACGCACAGGGAGTAAAAGCTCCTCTGAGGCATTAAGATTTCAGTGCTGCTCCCCACTGCCCTCACCCTACGCTCAAACAGAACATGCACCTTCTCCTCAGAGATAATGCTGAATACTGGTTCAAAATGAAAAACAGTCAAAATCAAACTCAAGCTCTCATGCTCAGAGTCACAAATTAAAGATGATGAAACACCCCTAAGGTTACCAGCAGATTGCTGAAGGCTTCTGGCAAGATGGAAGACAGGGCATCACAGGCGCTCGCCTGCAGAGTCGGATGCTCTGAATTCTGCAGGGCTCTGGGTAAAGGACCGTTCAGCATCACAGTCCAGAACATCACCACCTGGAACAGAGGCACAGTAACAACTGCAGCCCAAGAGACAACAGTGGAACCAGCTAGACACTAAGACTACCACTAGTAACCACAGTGATGAAAAGTTTTTCCTTAACGTAGTAGCTTACTATAAATACTTTTACTAGTACTTCTTCCACAGCAATGAAAGGAACTTTAGAAAACAACTAATTCAATGCTTCCATTTCATTCATTAGGAAACTACAGTGTGGTACAGTAAGGCAGCAGTAGTGATGATGATACTGGGAGGAAGACGAAGATGAGGATAGCAGTAACAGCAGCAGCAGCTGTTTTTCAGAGAGCTTCCCATACGCCAGGCATTGTTCTAAGTGTTTTACACATATCTACTCATTTTAATCTTCAGCCCAACTAAATGAAGAATATATCCTTATCTCCATTTTCACACCAGGAAACTGAGGCAGAGAGAGATAACGTAACTTGCTAGTGGGCAGCAGAGCTGGTCGAGAATCAGATCAAATGACACCCAGCCAGGGCTCTTTCAAACCTCGAGGGCACAAGGGTCGGGGTCCCAGAGCAGCCCAGAGGCCATGTGCCCGAGTGCAAGGAGCACGGGATCCAGAGCAGGAGCTGGGGTGGAGTTAGCCCTTCAGCTTCTGCTTCCTGTCTCTGCAGCCTCAGGCAAGTCACTGAACCGTCTAAGCTTTGGTTCCTCTTCAGTAAAACAGGACAAAGAGATCTACTTGGCACAGTTTGTGCGATAATAAAATGTACGACTGTGTAAAGTCTCTAGCACAGTGCCGGATGTACAGTGGAGATTCTTAAATTTAACAACAGGCTCTGTTTTCAGCACTCTGAAGAATTTTCTCACTTCAATGCCCCTCAAGGTAGGCATCTGCAGAGTACCTTTAACAGTCTCCTTCCCATGCTTTATAAAAACCCTGGGATTTCATGCCCCATGTGCAAATCTGTCTGGGGATTTGGTGTCTCCATTTCCTGCCCCATGGACTTAGTCCTCAGTGTTGCCATGCACTCACACACCAATTCTTTTGCCCCACAATCCTAGCTCCTGGACACCCAATCTGGGTCCTCCTGCCCCAAACCAGAAGAATGTGGACAGGTGTGGTTGCCAGCCTCCAAGATGGCCCACAGTGATTCTCACCTCCTAATGTTCAGGAGGCCATCCGCTCCCACACTGACTAAGGCTGACCTGTGTAACTAATGGGGTATTGTGGCAATGACAGTGCAGAACTTCTGAAACTAGGTTATAAAAATTCTACAGCTGTTTTGCTCACTCTCGATTCATTGCTATAAGGGAGGCCAGCTGCCTTGTCAGGAGAACACTCGAGCAGCCCTCTGGAGAGGTCCTCATGGGAAGGAACTGAGTGAGATCTGCCATCAGCCAGCACTAACGTGCAAGGTATGCGAGTGATCGCGCCACCTTGGAAGGAGCTCCTCCAACCCCCGTCAAATTCGGCTGACTGCAGTCCCTGCCAGCATCCTGGCTGCAGCCTCATGAGACCTGAGCCAGAACCATCAGGTAAGCTGCCCTCAATTCCTGGTCCACAGAAACTATGTGAGAGAATAAATGTAGGATATGGTTTTAAGTTGCAAAGTGTTTAGGATAATTTATCACTCAACAGATTAGTAATACAGAAAGTATACCCCTTTTTTACATATGAAACAACACTTAAGTGCGAACAGTTAAGAGTCTTGCTCAGGGCTTCCCTGGTGGCGCAGTGGTTAAGAATCCGCCTGCCAACGCAGGAAACATGGGTTCGAGCCCTGGTCTGGGAGGATCCCACATGCCGCGAAGCAACTAAGCCCGTGCGCCACAACTACCAAACCTGCGCTCTAGAGGCCGCGAGCCACAACTACTGAGCCCGCGTGCCACAACTACTGAAGCCCACGCACCTAGAGTCCGTGCTCTGCAACAAGAAGCCACTGCTATGAGAAGCCCACGCACCACAACAAAGAGTAGCCCCCACTCAGTGCAACTAGAGAAAGCCTGCGTGCAGCAACAAAGACCCAACGCAGCCAAAAATAAAAATAAATAAATTTATTTTTAAAAAAAGGAAAAAAACAGTCTTGCTCAAAGTCACTTGGAACAAGGGGAGAAGTCTGGATTAAACCCAGGTCTGTCTGATAGCAAAGCACAACGCAACTCCCTGCAAACAGTGACATTTCAGTTTTAGTGGAAGTCTAGGGAAGGGACTAGAGCTAGACATTCTTTTTTTGAAATTTATTTATTTTTGGCTGCATTGGGTCTTCACTGCTGCGCACGGGCTTTCTCTAGTTGTGGCGAGCGGGGGCGTCTCGTGGTGGCTTCTCTTGTTGCGGAGCACGGGCTCTAGGCACGCGGGCTTCAGTAGTTGTGGTGCACGGGCTCAGTAGTAGTGGCTCACGGGCTCTAGAGCGCAGGCTCGGTAGTTGTGGCGCATGGGCTTAGTTGCTCCGCAGCATGTGGGATCTTCCCGGACCAGGGCTCGAACCTGTGTCCCCTGCATTGGCAGGTGGATTCTTAACCACTGTGCCACCAGGGAAGCCCAAGCTAGACATTCTTAATTCTATCATTCCACCTAGGGTGATGGAAATTGTGAAGAGAAAAAGAATAGGCAGGATGAGGAGGGCAGAGGGAGAAAACATCCCTAATGTTGAGTTGATTTGGTTTTTGGCACTAAGTAGAAGGTTTTTTTTATGGGCTCACATGTTCCTCCTCCAAAGAATAACTGGCACAGTGTGGGGCAACACACACAAGCTCAGACCACAGAAATGAACGGGAATAAGGGGGAGGGCCCCGGCAGGGAGGGGCTAAAGGAATTACGACTCACTGAGCATCTACTATTTGCCAGAGTCTCCACATTTCATTCAATCTTCCAAAAGTCCAATGAGTTAAGGATTTTTACTCCTCTTTACAACAAGGAAACTATGCTCATAGTCACATATTCATTAAGTGGTTTAATCCCATGCCTTCTGATTCCAAATCTTGGGCTCTTCCCACCATTCTAGTCTGTCTCTTGGGCACACTGTGTAACCAAACTAGGTTTTGTGGGGGGAAAAAAACCCCAAAAAACTGCTTCTTCCATTACTGGCTGTATGTTACACATAATCTTACCACACACTAAACTGCAAATAAACTGAAATGCAAATAAAACCTATTCATCCTAGATTATAAACCATAATTTCTGATATTGGAAGAAACCATACTCTCTACGCCACTTTATCACTGAGCCTCAAAATAAAACTGACTGAAGCACTAAGAAAAGAGAAAACCATGAATATACATTTACTTACCAAACTGACTGGCACTCTCTGATCAGGTGCTATGGAAGAATCTGGTTTATACTGTTGTATTAAGCCTGTACCCAGTTCTTCCAGAAGCTGCCAAGATAAAAGAAATAGATCATCAGAGATGAATATTAGAACCATGGAGGTAAAAAGCCACTTCAGTTTGGAGATTACCTCAAATCAAGGGGAAAAGTAATTTCCAACTGATTTTCTTTCTTTTCTCAGAAACTGCTATCTCAGAGGCATTCTTTCCAGAAGCAAAATCACCAAGTATATATTTTTAATTTATTATCAAATCAATTCTTTGGGTTTACATGTAGAGCTGAAAATAGAGGAATGTATTGATATCACTTGCCTACCTGAAACCTCCTAAAGAAACTCAGAATTGATGGACATGCAGCTGAGGGAAGAACATAAAAGGAAGAGAAGAAAAAAGCACACAGCTTTTTTTTTCTTCTTTAAAATTGGGGTATAGCTGCTGTACAATGTTGTGTCAGTTTCCACTGTACAATTAAGTAAATCATCTATATGTATCCATATATCTCTTCCCTCCTGGATACCCCTCCCACCCACCCCCATCCACCCATCTAGGTCACCACAGAGCACCAAGCTGTGCTCCCTGAAGCACAGGGCTTTTAATGAAAATTACCTTTGCTCCATGAAGCTGGACAGATGGATCTGCCTCCCCCAGGCACTTGCAAATCACCTCTCCAAGCTCCATCAAGTAGACCTGAGTCATTGAAAAGTAGCCCCTTGCCAGATGAGCCAACACCTGCAAAGAAAACAGGGGATTAACCCCAAGACCTGAATGCAGGACTGCAATATCCAGAAGTGTTTCAATATTTCAGAAATCACTCACACTCAACAAGGGGCTGAAATCTGATGTTAATGAAATGAAGAACAACCATAATCTTCAATTAAGTATATCATAGAATTTTATGGTGCTTTATAATTTACAAAATGTGTTTCATTTTGATTATCAATATTATCACACTTAAGCCTGGGAACAATTTATCTACTGGTAGGTATTTATTGAGTATTTCAGCTGAAGAAACTAAGACTGAAAAAGTTAAAGGTTAAAGAGGTTAAAGGACATGTTCAATATTAACCAGATAATTAGCAGACCCTAGGACCAAAAAACAAATACTTTAATCTAGGGTGTACAGAAAAAACAAATATTTTAGTATTTTTAAAATATTACAGAAAAACAAATACTTTAATCGAGGGTGGTTTTCTTCCTTTGAAGGAGCAAATACTTTGTTGTCTCTAAACAGATATAATACCAAAGAGAAGTTTATAGAAAATTAAACATTTATTTAACTTTCAGATGCAGAAATCAAAGATTAACTCTACAACTTCCTTCAGAATTATTATATAATCTATTATACTGACCTGCCATATAATACCTGAGGTGACTAAAATGGCTTGCAACAAAAGGGGATGAATGTGATGTTTTACAACCAATCCCCCCCCCACCCACTCCCCCCCAAAACAAAACAACAAACAAAGCATTCACACCTAAAGTGTGAATTCACACACAACTCCCACTAACACCAATGACACACTGCTTGGTTTGACCTTATTTTCACAGACTTACTCCTCAGGAAGTAATCACCCCATGAAGAAAGAATGATTACTTCCATTTCAGAGATGAGGAAATGAAACCTCCTACCTGTAAGGCCTCCAGTCGCAAGGGAAATGGCTCATAGGTGCTTCCTCCTGTGGAGCCAGCATCACTACCTGAACAGGCATCTTCCTTGGGCAGAACAACAATGGAAATGCAAAGTCGAATGAGCCAGCAGGGCTCTGAAGACACCTTTGGTGAGCTAACTGCGGCTTCTTCCAGAAAGGGTCCTGAAGGGCCTTTCTTCCACCAATCAGGAGGACTGACGTGAGGAGTGGCTGAATTGCTATTGCTGAGTCCAGAAGAACAGGGCTGTTGTAAAAGTAGCTGGACTTCAGGTAAAGGTGCGTGAGTGGACACTATGGCCCCCAATAGTGTGAGACTGGACACACGAACATTAACATCTGTCAAAGGAATCAAAAAGAAACTATCACCACAGGAACAGTTACCATAAGGATCATAACTATCTCTGCAGGCAATTAAGAATTATGGCTTCTTTGTTTAACCTGAATCTAATTAAACCTCTAGACCTAACTTCCAGTTTATGGGACAGAAGTGTAAGTTAACACTGTAAAGAAAATACCCAACAAACTGAGAGTAGGGCTTCCCTGGTGGTGCAGTGGTTGAGAGTCCGCCTGCCGATGCAGGGGACGCGGGTTCATGCCCCGGTCCAGAAAGATCCCACATGCCACGGAGCAGCTGGGCCTGTGAGCCATGGCCGCTGAGCCTGCGCGTCCGGAGCCTGTGCTCCACAACGGGAGAGGCCACAACAGTGAGAGGCCCGTGTACTGCCAAAAAAACCCCCAGAAAACTGAGAGTATACGACATACTGTAAGACAACTGGCTTGGACCCTTCCAAAATCAGTATCATAAAAGAAAGAAAAAGGGCCACAGACTACTAGAGTCAAAAAGACTAAAGTGAGGAGGCAGGACAAGACGGCACTGTAGTAAGATGTTGGGCTCTCTCCTCCCATGGACAGGAAAATTACAGCTGCATAGAGAGCAACTATCTCTGAGAATGACCGAAAGACTAGCAGAGAAGATTTTCCATAACTAGGGATAAAAGGAAAAAAAAAGCCACATTGAGACAAGTAGGAGGGGCAGAGACATGGTTTGGCAGGGACCTACACCCCCACTGCTGTGGACCACAGGCAGGAGGGATTTCACAGCCTCAGAGGTCGGCTCTGAACCCCACATTGGGCTCCCCAGCCCAGGGGACATGCATCAGGTAGATGAACCCCCATAATGTCTGGCTTTGGAAATCAGCAGGGCTTACATCCAAGAGAGAGCCAGAGGGCTGCAGAGAATTAAGAATCCACTCTAAAAGGCTGTGCACAAAAACTCAGTCACTCCAGGTCCTGGCACACAGACAGCAGTTTGAAAAGTGCCTGATCATATGGGAAGGAGATTCACTGACTAATAGATTCATTGACTAATATTAAGGCGTGTCACCAAGAGGTACTGAGGAGCTGGCGAGTGCCACTTTAAAATTTTTTTTCTTTGTCTCCCTTTCTACCTAGGTGGCCAGGCACTGGCAGGCACCAGTTTTTTTTTTGGCTGCACCACACAGCTTGCAGGATCTCAATTACCTGACCAGGGATCCAACCCAGGCCACAGCAGTGAAAGCACTGAGTCCTAACCACTGGACTGCCAGGGAATTCCCAGGCGGTCACCAGTTCTGAATCTCCCCATCTAATTTACTAGCATCACTCAACCGGCCCTGAGTTCACCTGCGGATTCCACCCAGCTAGTGCTAATCTAATGCAGTCCCCAATTACAGCCAGCTGCACTGGGAACCAACCCCACCCCCTAGCAACCTGCAGAGAGCATGGCCCAGCCACAACAAAAGGGCACATGCAACCCACACAGGAGACACTCCTGGAGCACCTAGCTCTGGTGACCAGGGGGGACCATACTACTGGGCCTCACAGGACACCTTCTATACTTAGCCACTCTATCAAGAACAGGAAATGTAGCTGATCTACCTAATACATAGAAACAAACAGAGGGTTAGGCAAAATGAGGAGACAAAGAATTATGTCCCAAATGAAAGAACAGGACTAAACCTCAGAAAAAGAACTAAATGAAATGGAGATAAGCAATCTTCCAGATAAAGCATTCAAACTAATGGTCATAAAAATGCTCTCTGAACTCAGGAGAAGAATGGAAGGACACAGTGAGAACTTCTACAGAGACAGAAAACGTAAAAAAGAACCAATCAGAGCTGAATAAAATAACAAAAGTGAGAAATAGACTAGAGGAAACCAAATGCAGATTAGCTGATACAGAAGAACAGATCAGCAATCTGGAAGACAGGCTAATGAAAATCATCCAAATGGAAAAGCAAAAAGAAATAAGAAAAATGAGGATAGTTTAAGCGACCTCTATGACAACATCAAGTGTACTAACATTCACATTATAGGGGTCCCAGAAGGAGAAGAGAGAGGGACAGGGACAGAAAATCTCTTTGAAGAAATAATGGCTGAAAACTTTCCGAACCTGGCAAAGGAAACATACATCCAAGTCCAGGAATCACAAAAAGTCCCAAACAAGATGAACCCCAAAAGACCCACACCAAGACACATTATAATTAAAGTCAAAAGTCAGAGGGCTTCCCTGGTGGCACAGTGGTTAAGAATCTGCCTGCCAATGCAAGGGACATGAGTTCAAGCCCTGGCCCAGGTAGATCCCACATGCCGCAGAGCAACTAAGCTCATGTGCCACAACTACTGAGCCTGTGCTCTAGAGCCCACAAGCCACAACTACTGAGCCCATGTGCCACAACCACTGAAGCCTGCATGCCTAGAGCCCGTGCTCCGCAACAAGAGAAGCCACCGCAATGAGAAGCCTGCGCACTGCAACGAAGAGTAGCCCCCACTCACTGCAACTAGAGAAAGCCTGCGCACAGCAACAAAGACCCAACACAGCCAAAACTAACTAACTAAATAAATTTATTTTTAAAAAAAAGTTAACTAGAGAATCTTAAAAGCAGCAAGAGAAAAACAACTAGTTACATATGGAGGAGCCCCAGAAGATGATCAGCTGACTTTTCAGCAAAACTTTACATACCAGAAGGGAGTGGCACAAGATATTCAAAGTACTGAAAGGAAGAAAAACCCTTACAACCAAGAATATTCCCTCTGGCAAGGCTCTCATTCAGAAATGAAGGAGAGATAAAGAGTTTCCCAGACAAGCAAAAACTAAAGTAGTTCATCACCACTAAACTGACCTAACAAGAAATGTTAAAGGGACTGCTTTAAACAGAAAACACAAAACTATAAGTAGAAATATAAAAATTATGAAAGAAAAAAAAATCTCACTATAAAGGCAAACATATAGTAAAAGTAGTGGATCAACCAACCATATAGGTACTATGAAGGTTAAAACACAAAAGTAGTAAAATCCTATATATCTACAATAATTAGTTAAGAGATACACAAAACAGAAAGATGTTAAAGATGACGTCAAAAACATAAAACATAGGGGTAGGGAGTAAATATGTAGTGCTTTTAGAATGTGCTCAAACATAAGTGACCATTAACTTAAAATAGACTGCTGTATACCAGGTTGTTATAAAATAACCTCATGGTAACCACAAATCATAAAACAATACTAGATTAACTCAAAAAACAAAGAGAAAGGAATACAGTAAGTCCCCTACATATGAACCTTCAAGTTGTGAACTTTCAAAGATGCAAACATGCATTCCATCAATGTCAGGCATGAGTAAAATAGCAGCTTGCCCTCCATCTCCTATAGCTGACGATCCTTCAGCTCTACCATCTGCCACCTCCACTCCCTCCTCCAGTCAGTAACTCTTCTTGCCTGTTCACTCAATGCCAGCCCCTGTAGGCTAGCCATTATACTGTACTACTGTACTTTTCAAAGTACTGTAAGATTAAAAATGTTTCATTTTTTGTGTTTGTTTTTTATGTATTAATATTATAAACCTATTACAGTACAGTACTATATAGCCAATTGTGTTAGTTGTGTACCTAGGCTAACTGTTTGACTTATGATCAAATTGGACTTACGAACGTGTTCTCAGAATGGAACTCGTTCGTATGTAGGGGACTTACTGTACAAACATAACACTCAAGAAAGTCATTAAATCACAAGAGAGCAAGAGAAGAGTAAAGGAACAGAGAAAAACAACAAAAATAACCAGAAAACATATAACAAAAAGGCAGTAAGTACATAACCATCAAAAGTTACTTTAAATGAAAATGGACTAAATGCTCCAATCAAAAGACATAAGGTGGCTGAATGGATAAAAAAGCAAGACCCATATATATGCTACCTACAAGAGACTCACTTCAGATTTAAAGACACACAGAAATTGAAAGTGAGAGGATGGAAAAAGATACTCCATGCAAATGAAAACAAAGCTGGGGTAGTAATATTTATATCAGACAAAATAGACTTTACATGTAACCACAATGTTCACTGCAGCACTATTTACAATAGCCAGGACATGGAAGCAACCTAAGTGTCCATTGACAGATGAATGGATAAAGAAGATGTGGCACATATATACAATGGAATATTACTCAGCCATAAAAAGAAATGAAATTGAGTTATTTCTAGTGAGGTGGATGGACCTAGAGTCTGTCATACAGAGTGAAGTAAGTCAGAAAGAGAAGAACAAATACTGTATGCTAACGCATATATATGGAATCTAAAAAAAAAGAAAAGGTTCTGATGAACCTAGGGGCAGGACAGGAATAAAGACACAGACGTAGAGAGGACACGGGGAGGGGGAAGGGTAAGCTGGGACGAAGTGAGAGAGGAGCACTGACATATAAACACTACCAAATGTAAAATAGATAGCTAATGAGAAGCAGCTGCATAGCACAGGGAGATCAGCTCGGTGCTTTGTGACCACCTAGAGGGGTGGGATAGGGAGGGTAGGAGAGAGACGCAAGAGGTAGGGGATATGGGAATATATGTATACATATAGCTGAGTCACTTTGTTATACAGCAGAAACTAACACAACATTGTAAAGCAATTATACTCCAATAAAGATGTTAAAAAAATAGACTTTAAATCAAAGACTGTAACAAAAGACAAAAAAGTGCATTACATAATGATAAAGAGATCAATCCAACAAGAAGATTAAACACTTGTAAATGTATGTGCACCCCACATAGGAACAGCTAAATACATAAAGCAAATATTAACAGACATGAGGAGATACTGACAGTAATATAATAGTAAGGACTTTAACACCCCACTTATATCAATGGATAGGTCATCCATACAGAAGGAAACAATGTGTTTAAGGAAACACTGGCCTTAAAGGACACATTATACTACCCTGACTTAACAGATATATATATAGAGAACATTCCACCCAAAACCAGCAGGATACACATTCTTTTCAAGTGCATGTGGAACATTCTC